GGGGGTCGCAGGGCGGTGCCGGTGAAGGACACCCCCCCTCCCAGCCTAGCAAAGACCCTCCCCCTGGCCAAAATAATAAATTAATAAATATATAAATGAAGCAGCTGCAGCTGCTGAATAATGTTTTTTGCCTCCCCCCTCCCGGCACACACGCTTTTGTCCCCCCAAAACCGCTGTGCGCTGGGGTTGGGGCTGCTGCGGTGTCGCGTGCCCAAGCTCCCCAGGTGAAGGAAGTCTCCTTGGGTGCCGCTTGCAGCTGGGCCATCCTCCCCCTGGCGATTTGGGTGCAGGTCAAACGATTCTTTTTGTTGTTGTTTTTTTGGGTGGGTTTTTTTTTTTTTTTTTTTGGTCCTCCTTGTTTTGGTGGCCACCTTTACGTAACAAGTGCCGCCCGTCCTGAGGCGTTGCATGCCCTCGGGTCCGGCCGAGCGCCTCGTGTCCCAGCCTTAAAAGAAATGTCTTTCCATTGAAGAAGACAGGGGTTAAAATGAACGAAGACCTGAAGGCCAATTTGAGCTGGCTGCCTCGGGAGCGCGTAGACGGCAGCCCCGCAGAGAATGTCTCGGCCACAGGCTCCTCCCCGGTTCCTGCCGCGGACCCGGAGCCCGAGCTCTTGGTCAACCCCTGGGACATTGTCCTGTGCACCTCGGGGACCCTTATCTCCTGCGAAAATGCCGTTGTGGTGCTTATCATTTTCCATAACCCCAGTCTGCGGGCCCCCATGTTCCTCCTCATAGGCAGCCTGGCCCTCGCAGACCTCTTGGCGGGGCTCGGATTGATCGTCAATTTTGTCTTTGCCTACCTGCTGCAGTCGGAAGCCACCAAGCTGGTCACAATCGGACTGATCGTTGCCTCTTTCTCTGCCTCTGTCGGCAGCTTGCTGGCTATCACTGTCGATCGTTACCTCTCGCTGTATTACGCTCTGACTTATAATTCGGAAAGGACTGTCACTTTTACCTATGTCATGCTCATCCTGCTCTGGGGAGCGTCTATCTGTATCGGACTGCTGCCCGTCATGGGCTGGAACTGCCTCAGAGATGAATCCACCTGCAGCGTGATCAGGCCGCTCACTAAAAATAACGCGGCCGTCCTCTCGGTCTCTTTCCTGCTTATGTTTGCCCTCATGCTGCAGCTCTACATTCAGATCTGTAAAATCGTGATGCGCCATGCCCATCAGATTGCCTTGCAGCACCATTTCCTGGCCACTTCCCACTATGTGACCACCCGAAAAGGAGTGTCCACCTTGGCCATTATTTTGGGGACTTTTGCTGCTTGCTGGATGCCTTTTACACTCTATTCTCTAATAGCAGATTACACCTACCCTTCTATATATACCTATGCCACCCTCCTGCCAGCTACGTACAATTCCATCATCAATCCTGTAATATATGCTTTTAGGAACCAGGAGATACAAAAAGCACTTTGGCTCATCTGTTGTGGCTGTGTTCCCTCTAACCTGTCACAGAGAGCAAGATCACCCAGTGATGTCTGATTGACGGCTAGGAGGACGCTCACTATCATATTGATTTCCAGACATTGTTGCAGACCTCTTTTTGGTTTAGATGCATTCATTAAATGGTACGCGTTGGGTTCATATAAAAATCCACAGGATGCACTGACCTTTTTGTAAGCAGAAAACCCCAGTGACCAAAATGAATCAAGTGGTTGAAGGGAGATTTCCAAAATAAAAATAATCAGTGTTCTTACAGAGTTCTAACGTTGCTCAGGGTCTTTTGTTATAAGTGTATAACCTAGGCTTTGCTATGTTTGCCATGATTTTACATTAATTTTGCTACTTAAAATTAGATTCAAATAGCATGCCTACTTTGAAATTGATTGTGATTGTGTTCAGTCATACTGCATGTTTTATTTGTTGTCAGAATTTTCTTTCCTTCTTTAATTCTTATTGAAACAGTAAAAAAGGCCTGTTACCACAAACTGATTTCTATATCATCAGAATGCTCTTCAAAATAATGGCCAAGCATACTGATTTATGTGATATTTATGATAATAATCTCTGTGCGACAAATATGCTCTATGTGAGGAAGTACCTTCTTAGCTTTTTATTTTACTTCTCAGCATGAATTAGCTCGATCATTATTTTAAAGTGTTACCTGCTCTCCTTTGAGTTCTGGCTGGATGCTAAAACATAAGATATCCTTTGCCATTCTTTTCAGGAATCAGGCATGTGTTTTCACTTAGATATAGGACATCAGAGCTCATTATACTGTTAATTTTGAAAAGAATTCCCTACTGAAGTTGGTGGGGAGTTTTGAAATTGATGAGACACTGTGGCCTCTTTTGGCTATGCATTTGTAACAGATGCAGCATTTTAAGTTTTTTGGGGGCAAGTTAATCTTTCCAAAAGTATCAGAGAATATCTAATGAACTAACCTACAAATAACTAAGAACACATATTTAGCATCTGTGTTAAATGGCTCTTCTTAAGTTTGCCTTGAAGTCACAACTATTACTGTTTGTTTTTCTACTATAATTAAAAATTCTTACATTTATTTTCCGAGCATATCTGGTTCATAATTGTATGCAACCAAAATTGCAACATGAACCAATACTTTCTCCTTTTCTGGCAGTTTCATCCGTCACAGATGATGATTCTTCACACCACGTGCATATCATTTCTCTTCATTATCAGGTCATAGTTCTAGTCTAAAAGGCAGAGCTTCCTCTCATGAATGGTTATATTAAAAACTGCTTTTAAACTTTTACTGAAGCCGCATTAGTATGCACTAGATGTAAAACGTTGCTCTCTAATAACAGTACTTGATTGGCAGAGAGAAAGTCTTCCTCAAAGACTTCTTCATGACACTTAAGGTGTTATCCTAATGTCAGTGCATGGGAGTTTATATTCCCACTTCCATTAGTGTTAATGGGAGCAACACATGTTAATGTGTTACTGATGCCCTGGCATCAGTATGAGGTTATACTTCCTTAAATGTCAAAGTCAGTATATGGTAGTGATGCTTCAGTATCTTCCATTGCAGTTAAGGAAAAGTAAAGTCACAAGTGTAAAAATAGCAATATTTAAAGTTCAATGAAAAAATATACCTGTATTATAGATAGCAGTCAACCGTGTTGCCGATACAGATTTTTTCAAATGGATTTTTTCCTTTTCACGTGGATGTTTGGATGACCATAGCTTTTTGTGCAGAGTTTCCGTAACGTTAAGAATCATACGGTATACACCAAGTTGAATCTCAAATGTGAATGAGTTTTTCTGTAAACTAAAGCTCTGTAGAGGCTTTATCAGCAATAATTAATTATAGTTGCAATGCTGGGTTCAAATTCCATTGGTCACTTGGTTCAACCTTCATGGTATTTGGTTCTTTCTTTGCAGTCCAAAATTGCATGGAATAATCCAGTAGAGCTGTGAACTTGCAGAGGTTCAACCTTCATGGTATTTGGCTCTTTCTTTGCAGTCTAATTAGTTCCAAAATTGCATGGCATAATCCAGTAGAGCTGTGAACTTGCAGTTCCCTTGGCTTAACTGCGATTTGCAGATGCTCAGTGCAGTTAGAGTGTGGCCCTACTCTGTAGGATATTGCTGTTCTTTATCTACTTCTGAATGCTAATGAAACTCCAGTCCTTTACCATGTTCCTATTTTTATTATGAGTTTTTGTATAAGAAATAATCACTTCAAAAAATATCCATGCTGTGTATGCATGCAGTTTTGCAAGTATGCAGAAAATGGAAATAAATGGAGGAAGTCATGAAATGAATAATGCAGGGAGGCTGAGAATAGCACCTTTGAAAAAGACAAATAAGAAAAGTTGAAATGATACAGTGGGTGCCCCTCTCTATTGCAATTGTTCTTTTGTATCAAAATGCTAAAAAGTGTGATGAGAAATGAGCTACTGTGACTGTAATTCAGGCCTGAGAGTGGCTCTTTGGCTGCTTGCACAACCTGTTTGCTTCCTGATGGTCACCTCACAAGTGCTCGTGTTTTGTTCCCAGTAACACCTGGGTGGTAGCAAGGCCATAAGAAAAACAGTATTAGGGGCCGGGGGGTGGAAATAACGTTGTCTCCTCTTTCCATGCTGGTGTCCTTGTCATCTTCCTCGCTCCACAGGCTGCCTAAATCTGCAGAGGCTCTTCAGAGTGCTGGGGGAGCCGACCTTTTCCTTGTGCCAGAGCAGACATTTGTAATTGGAAGCTTCTCTCCTGAGGAGCAGTCTAAATCAAATGGAGGAGAGAGGGATTAATTATAGAAGTCACACACAGCTGGCTCCTAAGGATGTGATTTGCCCTCATTTGAGGGGTACCTTTCATGGCAAACAGAAGAGAAACCCACTTTTGCAGTTAGAGCTACTGCTGTGACCTCTAGTGAGGATGGTGTGCCCTTAATTGGAGCCAGTGCAGCACAGGCCAGAAAGTCCTCCTGGACGTTGGTGACACTGGTTTGTTCGTAGCTGCCAGACCAAGCTTTGAGATGGTCAATGATTTGCAGTGCTGGAGAGATGCTCTGTAACTTCTGTGAGCAAACTCCTGTCCTCCGTGGGTGGAGGGCCAGGGCTGGGGGTGACAAACTACCTGTCCCCTTCCCCGAAAGGCAGCGGCTTCCCGCGCCCTGCGGAGTTGATTCCTGCTCCCCGTGTGCAGCAGGAGGTCAGGAGCCCTGCAGCTCCCAGGCCCCCCGGGAAGGTGCCAGCATCCATTCAGACACCTCTGGAATGGGTGAAACCAGCCAGCTTCCAGAATTGCATCTTTTTGTTGTTTTTTAAATGCATGATTTAGTTGAAGAAATTGAGTAACCAATAGTATCTTGATAGGCAAAATGTACTCCAGGCATTTTTTTTCATATACTCAACCTCAAAGCTTTTGTGCTTTTTTGTTGTTATTTGTTTGTTTTTCCTTTAACCATTTCTCCTTGAGTAAGAATTTCAGCAATAAGGGAAAAATGCTTTTATCATAACAGCAATAAAATCCTCCCTATTCCAGGTACAATAATTTGCTAAGTGAACTCAGAGCAATAGAGAGGAAGCAATATATCCTTTAGAGAAAAAAATAGTAACTTGCGTAAGGACTTTGAAGAGAAGTCTTCCTTTTTTCAGCAGTCTCTATAGGACTGAGGTGAGACATTGTTTGTGGTTGGTTTGTGCTGCAATAAGGTGAGTTACTGAATACAGTTACTCAGCAATAACCATTTACCTTAATTTTTAGATCCTGAATGCTATTTGTGAGCAAATAATGTGCTGCAGTAGTTTTTTGTTGTTTTTTTTACTCTTTTCATTGCTTGGCATTTAGTCATACAGCAATGCTTGGGTAAATTCATTGTGCTCAGGATTTCTGGCTGTAATTTAATACTGAGAATACCCTTCACCAAAAAAAAAAAAAAAAAAAGGGGGAGGGAGAAAAAAAAAAGAACAACCTGAGAAAATTTGTGCCGTCTGTCAAGTTGGATATATTAGATGGAATTAACCAATTCCAAAGATAATTTGGCCTTTAAAAGATGATGATTGCGGCATCTTTGAAGAAATCACCTGCCAGTCCCCATGTTTGGATATTTGGAAGCAAGCTGAGAGGTCTGTTACAGCTGCTGTCTGTTCCCACCACTCATTTCCCCACGATGCTGAGTACCTGTCATGTCAGTGGGAATTGGGATGACCAACATCACTAATAATCAGGCCACCAAGACATAATTACATATCTATGACTTTTAAGATGGAGGCTCTGTAACATTAAGACCCATATTTTCGAAGCATTGACTCTGTCATTTCGCGCAGAGAAAATATATTTTCTACATGCGAGAAACAAAAATAGCGTTAGGCAGAGTGGCCACTATTTAAAAAAAAAAAAAAAAACCACCGTCTATTCCATTATTTTATTTTGGATACTGAATGGTTCCGTGTCTTTGCAATAACCAGAAGATCACAAGTGCCCACAAGTCCATGTAGAAGCACAGTAGAAAAGAGGGGCAGACTAAGCACACCTGGCAAAGCAGAACAGTTTGAAACCACAGCTCTGTCTTGAGTGGGAATAAGAATGGTGTGTCCTGACACAAACTGTAGAGAGATCAAGTCCTAGGTGTATAGAATAGCACCAGAGATAATGCTGTGCTGTTCACCGAACTCTTACTGCTGCGAGAAATCATCTGGTAGAATCGCGCTGGATACAGATCCTGTGCAGAAATGTTGTCTGCAAATAGGCAGCATCTTTTTAATACGACAGTATCGCAGGAAGCCACTTTAGGAAAGAGTTTGTTAACATCAGTGATAAATTTGAAGTAAGAAAATTTTCAGACACAGTATATTACATGCTATAAAAATAAGTCCTAGCACAGAGATCATTGCATGTTAGCAAGAAGTCACGTAACTAGGATGGCATTAGGCAACAGGACTACTCAAAAGCTTGGGAAGTTCAATGTTTAAAAATAGGTTACTGCAGATAATGGTGCATTGCTATAATTGGGAAGGATAATTTTAAATAATACTTGAATTCATGAATTTTAAGATGTCATTTTGAATGCAGTGGTTTACTATCTGCAGACTACCATGAAGTTAAACTAAATGTGGCACTGAAAGAGATGTACAATGAAAATAGATAAGGCCTCTCAATCTCTGCTTATAAAGAGCAGTCTAGAAAGAAGGGATGTGCTTTAAATATGTAATAAATAATAATAAAAAACAGTCTAGGGAAGATAAGTCAGGCATGCTTATCTCCCCCTGCCTCTCACTACAGGAATAATGGGTCAAGAAACTTGAAAGGCAATGTGTTTCAAAAGATTTGTTTTTTCTTTTCTTACAATTTTACATTTGATTAGTGTAAAACTGCTGTGATGCAAATTAATTCAGTGACACTGAAAGGGCAAGGGGAGATTTCAGAAGGGTTGAGAGGGTAAAATTCTTCTAAAAACAATCCCAACTGCCACCCGCTGCCTTTCGAGGAAAATGTCCTCGCCTCCCCAAACCTGTTTCTGTGCACTCTATCAATTCTAAGGCAATTCTTACAAATCCCTATTGACACACTAAGTATTTTATTGATCAAGATAGTGGTAGGCGTTAATTAATTTTAAA